GGAACTGGAAGAGGTTAAATTCTTTTACAGCAAATTGCCGTGCTTTATTCTGGCATCTTCTTCATTTTATCTTTATTTTGTCACGATTAGTCTATTCGTGACTAATTGCTATACTTCACGAATTTATTCGTGACTAATTCTTTGCATTCTTTTTTTTTTTCTTCCAAACCGGAAAAATAAACCTGATTCACATTGGTCCAGCAATTTTGGAATAAAATTATTAATTTTGTTTTTTTACAATGTGATGTGACCTAGACTTCAATTTCTCTTTGTCAAAATTCTAGACCAAAGACTTGAGATCCTTTTGGAGTTAGTTTTTTTCTGTGGTTCAGGCCTAAAATGCGTCTATGTTCGATTAAATAAATCAACCTGTCGGTCTCAATTACCGACCTAACCGATTTTATTATAAACAAAAAATTTATCTTTAATTGAATTCGAAAGTGACTAATTTTTGAGATGTTACCTTATAATATAAAAATTTTAATGAAGTTATTGATTTTATCGAAAAAATATAAAAATAAAAAAATTTAGGGTGTTTTTTATAAAATATTTTTTTTCGAAATTTTTTATTTTTTAAAATTTGAGGTTATATATAAAAAATTTATCATTTCACTTATATCCGTCATTAAAATTTAAAAATTAATTTATTTAATTTATGTAATTGTTATTAAAATTAATAATTAATAAATTTAAAATTAAAATTTCAATAATTAAAATTATTTTTTATCTTCAAATTATAATTTTGTATAAAAAGAGCTTTCTTATTTCGTAATTAAGACGCATTTTGTTTATACTTGCCTAAAGAAAAAAGTTTTCAAAATTTTCAAAACTCTCGGGCAAAATCGACAGGGACAGGGTTGCTTGCCCCTTGGGAAGTCATAAAATTCGTCATGTTCCTCCATGTTCAGTGTTCTTCGGGGTGCTATTTGTTGGACTTGTTCCGGATCTATACATTGTTAATAAAATAAGCCATGACATCATCGGGATTGTGCCAGGCTCTTATGGATGTCAGTTGTTTTGATTTTTTAATGCATCTTTTAATCTTACTAACCTACCCTAAATCTGACCTAACTGATCATCATTAATAATCAAGCCAAGTCAATGGACAGCCTAATTGATTATAATTAACAGTAGCATAATTAAACCATGTTGTTTGGACTCCGAGAAAAAAGTAGATTAGACCTAATAATTCATCATAAAAGATTTAAATTTAAGTGCAATAAAAATATTTTATTTTATTTTTATAATCAATTTTGACGTGAAATATCTTTTCACAAATTCAAAGTCCTCATAAATCAATTTCGTTTCATGAATTTTTTAACAGCAACTTGATTATTGGGATGCAGATTGATTCTCCTTTCCATCTCAAATTTTTTTATTTACTGTTTGTCTTAAAATATTTATCATGTATTGATTTTTAAGAAATTTTTAAAAAAATTAATTTAGTGTATATAATATTAAATTTAAAATTTTTTATACAATTAAAATTTTATGATTTTTAATGTCAAAAATAAAAATAAAAAATTAAAATATTCAAAAAATAATTATGAGATATCTCGGGAAAAAATAAAAAATATGAGATGGAGAGAATAGATGATATGGAAGGCAGGATCCCGGAAATTTGCTTTTTCTTTTTGTCAATTTCGAAGAACTGGCATAACATTCCATCGTCATGATTGGTTTTCACTTAAATAAAAAATTCTGATTAACACAAATCATGCACTAACTCTCTGTATTTTTAAATTCGACTTTGTCATTGAAATATGTTCTGGATGGGTATCAAGAAGAATAATATTCTTTATAATAACCTTTTAGGCCAAATATGGAAAAATAATTACTAAAATTCAACATATTTCTCCACGATAGGGGTAAGGTGGGCAGGAAAGTTCCCATACGTGGGAAACTGGGAATTAGCGAATTGGGCTATATGCTGGAAGCTTCCATTGTATTCAGATTTCTTTGCGTTTCAGTGGGTGGCTATTGGCAAGCCAATGAGCAGAAACATCCTACCAGGGTTCATAAGCGTCTAAACCGTGCTGCGATTGCTTGTTTTGACCTGTGCTGCTGACCATATATTGCCATTGTTTTGTTTGCAAGTAAAATACCCAACAAGGCTTTTTTTTTTTATTCCTTCAAATTCTAGACTCTTTTCTTTTTTGGACCAATAATTGGGAACTTAACAGGGCCAAATTTGGTATTGTAAGAGTGCTACTTGCTTTTAGAGGAATGGCCAAATGGGGTAAAGTCTTGCGTACTGATTCTACGCTGCCAAAGCCTCCCTATAAATACCAGTTGCCTCCCAATGCCTCCCTCACGAAGCAACAACAGCTTTAGCTTCATACAAACTTCTTTGATCTCTCTGTATTTTTTTTAGAAAATTTTATTCATTTATAGTATTTTGATTTCTTAATACATCAGCCATGGTCCTATCTAAGACAGCTTCTCAGACTGATGTCTTCAATTCACTCCACTTTGCCTCTCGCTATGTCCGAACCTCACTTCCCAGGTAATCCCATGATCCCAACTTTTGGATGCATAGCATAATATGTGGAAATCTAAACAGGCATTGATTTCATGGTGAAAAAGTGGATAATTTATACGGAAAATATTGCAGGTTCAAGATGCCAGAGAACTCAATACCAAAAGAGGCTGCATATCAGATTATCAACGATGAGCTGATGCTTGATGGAACCCAAGGTTGAACCTTGCCTCTTTTGTTACTACCTGGATGGAGCCTGAATGTGATAAGCTTATAATGGATTCCATTAACAAGAACTATGTTGACATGGATGAGTACCCTGTCACCACCGAGCTTTCAGGTATAATACATATCCCTCTGACTCTCTCCTCTCTTCATGTTTTTAGTTTTTTCCCCCTATTTTTTAGCAAATTCTTTCAACCTTTCTCATAAGCTCATAGAATTCAATTTGTATTACAAAATAACAAAGATCCAAAAGACGTTTTGGTTTGCCACAATAAATCAAGAAAAAGTGAAGCAGCAATTCAAAGAAAAGGTCTAACGCTTGAATCGTCTTTGCCTTTTTGTCATAGTGTCAATCCAGTTGTAACGAACAAAAAGTCTAGGAATAAAATTTGTTTTCCATCATAATATAGGAAAGAAACATTATCCTGAATCCTGTAAATTTTCGATTACCAAAGGTAAAAATGTACTTTGATGCAGAATCTTGTGTGAACATGATAGCACACCTTTCAAGCACCACTTGGTGACTCCGAGGCTGCTGTGAGTGGGAACAGTTGGGTCATCCGAGGCAATCATGTTGGCTGGCCTTGCATTCAAGAGAAAATGGCAGAACAAGCGCAAGGCCGAAGGCAAACCTTATGACAAAACCAACATTGTCACTGGAGCCAATGTCAGGTTGCTGGGAGAATTTGCGAGGTACTTTGAAGTAGAGTTGAAGAAGTGAAGCTGAGGGAAGGTTACTATGTGATGGACCCTGTAAAAGCTGTGGAAATGGTAGATGAAAACACCATCTGTGTTGCTGCTATCCTGGGTTCACCCTCAATGGAGAATTTGAAGATTGTCAAGCTTCTAAACAATCTCTTGGTAGAAAGAAACAAGGAAACTGGGTACATATCAATTTTGCAGTAACAGATTTTAAACATTTGAAATATCAAGTGCTAATTTAATTTATCTTCCGATTATCTCTTCTGCAGATGGATACCCCAATTCATGTTGATGCAGCTAGTGGTGGATTTATTGCACCATTCTTGTACCCTGAGCTAGAGTGGGACTTCAGGCTTCCCCTTGTGAAAAGCATTAATGTTAGTGGCCACAATATGGTCTTGTCTATGCTGGAATTGGTGGTTGGGTTATCTGGAGGAGCAAGGAAGACTTGCCTGAAGAAACTTATTTTCCACATTTAACTATCTTGGAGCTGATCAACCCACATTCCTCTCAATTCTCCAAAGGTGAACTACTCCAATCCAATTTCCTTGATGCT